ATGGATTCAGCATGGGGATGACAAGAGTGTAAAATACAGAAGCCACTTTGTCAGTGGAGTCACTGGAGTGACTGGCCCTGGGCTGCACATACATAAATATCAGTGTCCCATAGAACACAGTAACCACAGTCAGGTGAGACCCACAAGTGGAGAAGGCTTTGCGCCTGCCCTCTGCGGACTTCATCCTGAGAATGGCTATGGAGATGAGCAGGTAGGACACGAGGATAACTGGAAGAGAGGAAATCAAATTAAAAATGGACAAGATCAGAATTATCATTTCAACTTCATGAGCATCTGAGCAGAGCAATGACAACAAGGGGACACTGTCACAGTAGAAATGACTGATGAGATTGTGTCCACAGAAGGATAAGGTGAAAATCTTTATGGTAATTAGAAGAGACACACATGTGCAATAGAGGTAAGGAATCACTACTAGCACCCAACACACTCTTGGGGACATGATGACAGTGTAGAGGAGAGGGTTACAAATGGCCACGTAGCGGTCATAGGACATCGCAGACAGGATGAAAAGCTCACTAATAATGAACACAATAAAGAAAGCTAGCTGTGTGGCACAAAAAGAATAGGAGATTGTATTTTCGTCTTCAACAACATTTACCAGCATTTTGGGTCCCACAGCTGTGGAATAGCCAAGATCAGTGAGAGCCAGGTGTCTGAGGAAAAAGTACATGGGGGTTTGCAGCTGGGGGTGCAGCTGGGTGAGGACGATCATGCCCAGGTTGGCCACCAGCGAGGTCAGGTAGATGACGAGGAACAGCACAAAGAGTGGGGCCTGTAGCTCAGGATGATCTGTGATGCCCAGCAGGATGAATTCCGTCACCACCGTGATGTTGTGCTCCTTCACGAGCATTTGCCATAAAATATAGTCTAGATGGCCAAAGTAGAAAAACAATATATTTCTAATATTTTCATATGGGAGATTAATTCTGCAAAGCTAAATTAAAGAAGAGAGCTCTTAACTTTGAAGCGTAGTTTCTGTGATATTATCACACCGTTACCAGGTGGTAATGCAGAAGTAGACATGTAGGTAGACCAGATGTTCTCAGGAAAGGTGGTCTGGTGGGCCAAAAGCACCTTCCATACATAGAGATAGCTTGCTTTTCACCAGAGAGGGGTGGACCTCCCTGGGCACCTCGTGGTTACAAGGGGGTTATGATGCCATCGATCAGATTATATTGATATGGAGGCCTGAACTCTAGCCAAAGGGACAACATTATTCTAAATTGAAAAATGCTGAAATAGTGGATAAACAAAGAGTGACAAAGTGAGACAGAGTCCAATCAATGATAAAACGTTAAAACTTGTGTACTATAAAAACTGCATGTTAGCTAAATGTGTAATGACTGCACTGTTCTTTAGTATCTGACTTCACTTCCATACTTACAATTGCCACATTGGGGTCTTCATTCATTACATTTCATGAATCAGCATGAGCATATGCCAATGACTTGTGAATATTGTCTAACAAATTCCATAAATGAATAAAATTGCCTTGAATTTTGCAGGTAATACTTCAAAATCTAGTTCTTTGAAATACATATTCTTAGAGTTTTTACACATGAAATTGTTAAGACATATCATTGATGAATGAATGAAAGACTGTAAAGATCACAATGGCAATGGCCTTTTTAATTTTTATTTATTTATTTATTCTTGTTTGTTTGTTTTTTGGCAGAACCGGGGATTGAACTCAGGCCCTTGCGCTTGCCAGGGAAGCACTTATTCTACTGAGCCATCTCCCCAGCCCCCTACAATTGCTTTTTTTAAGAAGAAGCATACTGGTAGAAATACGTATGTTTGTGTACATTATCAGTGTTATACATCAAATAAGTGTACAAAATTATTTCCATGGTCATGTAATTTAACTAAAAGTGTTTTACTTAATCTCATACATGAAATCAAAATGTACTTAAAGGGTTGTAGAGAAGGATGATAGATTAGTACCTGGTTCTGAGTATCCAGGGGCCTGAAAATCGTTCTCCCTGGTCATGTACATGTTTTTCCTTGTTTTATTTTTGTTCTTTAATTGGCAAGATGGCCTTACCTGAAAGAGGTTTCCTTTACGTAAGTACGTGACTATCCTCCTGCAAAGCTTTGCCTCTTTAGTACAAAGCATTAAGCACATGAAGGACTGCTGAAGTGGAATAAATACATGCTACGTATCCTAATCCTAATCCCACCACATCTGCCCATGTGCTATGAGTAAAATTGGATTAAGAGCATGCTGTTGTTGGGGATGACCTATTCTCTTTATCATAGATATTTTAATAGAACTGTAATCTAAATTCCTTTTAGGGGCTGGGGAGATGGCTCAGTAGAATAAGTGCTTCCCTGGCAAGCTCAAGGGCCTGAGTTCAATCCCCATTTCCATCAAAAAAGAAAAATTAGGGAAGGGTCTACAGGGTATTCAGGGTCTCACTACTAGATCAGACTAATAGTGATCCATATGTTTACAGCCTCTCAAGAGCTGGGATTACAGGCATGCGCCACCATGCCCTGTCTCAATTGCCATCTCAGCGTGCTCCGGGGGGCAGGGCTGGCACAACAAGCCTCGGGATGGAATCCCAGGCTTGCTGTGCCTGCTTGCAGGCACTTTAATCCGTTGAGCTATTTGGCAGGCTTTGTAATTCTTGCATATAAATTTTGCATGTAAATATTTTTAAAGCTAAGTTTCCTTGAAATTCATCATCATTATAGATTATGTATTATAAGATACATTTCCTATTATACATTTAATAAGCACATAAATTGCAGAATTTTTACTATGTCACAATATATAAACACACTAAATATGATAATTCTGAGATTTATGTGGATCCTAGAAGTGATCTGAGATCTTCCTATTTCTGTCTTCAAATTTGGAAGACAGAAATACGATAGCACATAACACAT